GCTTTTTGCAATAATAGAGGTAACAGCTGTAACAAATTAATTTTTATCTTTTGATAAGAAGAATTGATTTACGTACATCTAGTTAGAATCCTATTAGATGATTATGTTTTTGTTGACTGAATATGGCAAGGTGGAAATATATAATTACTTGTTGCCAACCTTGATCATTTTCAAGGGACCCATGCCAAGCTACAAAGTGTGGGTAAAGCAGAAGGCCCCAAAAGCCTGCCTGAGTCGCCACAGAGTGAACCTTTGCAGATGTGACAACGAGCTTGATCAGCAAAGGAAAGTAAGTAACGTATCCAACCAAACCAGATCAGATTAATCAGAGCACAAGGCCTGAAAAAAAGACTTTATAAAAGAAGCCCTTAAATTAGATGGTCTATCATAGCTTTATCTTATAGTGTGTCAGACTTACCAACTTAGCTCAAACAGGCTTGGGGAATCTTCGTTTTGATTGGTGGAGCTCATCCATCAGGGGTGTGCAAAGCTGGCTGTATTCGATTCAGATTCAGCCCGATTCAGGGGACAGTGATTTGATTAGTTGATTCGGATCACTGTCCCAACTTCGATTTGGCCAAATCCAAATCTGCAGATTCAATTCTGATTCAGAGAATCAGTAATTTGGCCATAGACACAGCTTTATATGTTTTTTCTACATACGTCAAGATACCAGGCATGGCTCGTAAACACTGAGATGATGGGGTGGATGGAGTGTCCTGCAGGAGCACGGGGGAGCCCCCCTGCGTGCTCACTGGCAGAACCCCCGTGCCCTCCCTGCTTGGCAATCAGCTGCAGGGGGACCCTGGGTGCCCCCCCAGACCCAGGAGGCACCAGTCGCCAAGCCAGGGGGTAGTCCCCTGCGCAGTCTGTGGTGGACCTGAAAGTGGACCAAAGTGCTTCTGGTCCACTTTTCGGTCCCCCGCCAAGTGTGCTGGGGACCCCCTCATGTTCCTGTGGGATGCTCCATCTGCACCACCATCTTAGTGTTCATGTGGCACCTGGTACCTTGAGGTATGTTGAAAAAACAATGTTGTATCTAAGTCTGAATCATCAAATCTCTCTGAATCGAATCAGAGGCTTTTGATTCGATTCAGAGAGATTGATGGGTCTCCTGATTCAAATCTGATTCAGAGACTTGGTTGCTGAATTGGGCCAAATCTCTGCTGAATTGAATCAGTGACTGAAGCTTCCCACAGCCCTCCTGTCCACCAATCAGGTAAGGGTTGGGTGGGGCTGGCCCTGCCCTGCCCCCTACACAGGGTGGGGAGGGGCGAAGAGCCTCCTGAACTTGATTGAAGCCTGCATTCTGCAGGTCTGGCAAGACTTCAAGGGCAGAACCTCCAAAGTGAATAAAAGAAACTGCATGCCCAGCACGCGGCAGACAAGCCAGGGGAATGGAGAAGGAAGAAGGGGCCAAGAGCTGGGGAAAAGCTGCTTAGTGGGTAAAGCAGCACCCAGAATATCCCTGAAGACTCCTCTCACTGGGACTGATGTCACAGCCCCATTGGTGTGGTTGGCACACAGGGCACAGACCTAGAGGCTGCTTGAGGCAGTCCAGGTCTGCATTCCCTGGCAGGCAGCCAGGGTGTGATGCAGAGACTGCTGCATGGAGCTCAGACCCTGGGAGCTGCTCGGGGCAGCTCGGGCCTGTAACCCTTGGCAAGCGACCAAAGGGCACGGTGCAGAGGTCATTGCGCAGAAGATCCAGGAGCAGATCAGGGCTCTGGGAGCCCCTTTGGGTGGCTCGAGTCCCATTCCCTGGCACATGGCCAGGTAACTGATGCAGGCCATGTCAGGCCACATGGTCCAAGAGCTGACTGAGCCCTGGTACAGCACAAGGCAGCCAGGGCCTCCAACCTATCCGGGCAGAAGGATGGGGCCACAGTGGACTGCTGCACAGGGAGAGAGAGAGCCCTAGCAGTGGAAGGCCACCTCAGTGGGCCCAGAGACAGCCCTGCGATGATAGGAGTTGTGAGTTGTAGGGGTCTCCCACAGAGGAGGGAACCCTCAGAAGGGGAGACAACAGGGGCCCTGGGGGCTAAGGGTCCTGACCCTATGCAAGAGGGGAAGGAGGACCTGGAACCTTGTGCCTCTCCCTGATGAGTAGCAGCAAGGGCTCCCATCACAGAACTGGGCAGTTCTCACTCAAGTTCTCACTGGACAAAGGAATTAGGTGGCCTCTTGAAAAAGCATTCCCTTTTTTACTCAAATGTGTGGTATGTATCAATTGGTTTGCAAAGCAGGATTGGCAGATTTAAGCAGAAAAAACTCCATGCCTGGGCAAGAAAAGGCTTACCAGTAAATCATTTACACAACTGTTTTATTCAGTGATTTGGCATTTTCACATGTAGGTTCAGATGAACCCATCCCTGCTTCTATCCCCAGCCCTAAGGTATCAGGGGAAATGAGTTTTCTGCCACAAGTTATTTTTACTGAAGGTGAGATCACAGATAAAATATATCCCAAGTAATAGGGACAAATTTAATAGGCATAAAGGCACCCACAACCCATTGAATTAAACAAACTTGCAATGTTAGGCATCAGATCTGAATTTCTCTAAAATCTGAGGTGTCTGAAACCAAAGTTTCAAACACCTCCATGCTCTCCACGTTTTGAGTAGGCCGAAGGAGCTAAGCAGGCCAGGAGGAAAAAGAATCAAGTGATCGTCATAGGCGACTCCATTCTGAGAGGTACAGAGAGCCCCATCTGTCACCAGGACCCCTTGACATGTGAGGTCTACTGCCTACCTGGAGCAAAGATTCAGGATGTGAAGGGGATGATCCAGGCTGTGATCCAGCCCACCAATTACTACCCCATGGTCCTAATCCGTGTGGGTACTAATGATGTGGCCAGGAGAAGCCCTGATCGCCTGATGGCAGACTACCACGCTCTGGGGTGCGTGCTAAAGGAGATACTGCACAGGTGGTTTTCTCCTCTATCCTACCAGTGAGCGGACGTGGAAGACGGCATGTAACGTGCATCGCGGAGACCAACTTGTGGCTTCAGGAATGGTGTCTTGAGGCAGGCTTTGGCTTCCTCGA